TTTATGTGGCTACACTTGAGCTTTCTGGAGCTTATTATCCTGCTATTGCAAATGGTTTAGTTCATATTGCTGAAATTTCTCTTTTACTACATAATTTGAAGAAGAAAGAAGGATATGGTACTGTTGTTGAATCTATGCTAGATAAGTTTAAAAAATATTTTTACCCAATTCCCCAGATTTACCTGATTGGTGCTATTTTAAATCCTACTGTCAAAATGATAAAGTGTCGCAATTAATTAGAGCTTTATATACTTATATGGATATTGGACCAACTGAAACTTCTGATATTGACACTTGTGTTTCTGAGCTACACACACATTTACAAACTTTATGTAATTATTATGCTAACATTGTTGATGCTTCTTCGGTTGTAGATGCAAATATTCCTTCAACTAATCCTTCAACATCTGGAACAACTATGGATGATGATGATGGTGTTCAAGATTATCTGATTTGGTCTACACTAGGAGAGAATCAACAAACCAGTAGCAGGAATATTGATGAACTCCAATTCTACTTGCAAAAGTCACCAGAGCCCCTCACAAAGGATTTTCTACCTCTGGGTTGGAGGAAGAGCAACTCAAATCAATTTCCTGTTCTTTCGGCCATGGCTCGAGACGTGCTAAATGTGCCGATTTCAACAGTTGCATCAGAGAGCGCATTTAGCCAAGCAAAGCAGCAGCTAGGAGATACCCGTCATTCATTGGGCAGTAACGCTTTGGAAATTCTAGTGTGCTTCAATATTGGATAAGATCAAAACCGCGAAATCAAGGGCGTGACGAGGTAGACGAAGAGGAGGACCAAGAAATTTGAGATATAATGGTTTATGGTTCCGATTCAACCAATGCCAGAAACCTAGAACCTCATGTTGACATGGAAGAACTTACAAAAATGGTGCAAAATATGTGATGTACTATTTCTTATTTTTTATAGTTGTTGTAAACTTTTAATTTGAAAGTCCAAAAATAAAAAAATCAAAAAAGAACTTGCAAATTAATTTGAAGTATTAAAAATATAAAATGAAAGCCTTCAGAGTTTGTTCCTTACATATTGCCTATTGGTCTTATTAAATAATTTTTTTGCCACTTACTTTCTAATTTCAATTTTATAATTTTAAAATACAAATTTCAAATTTAAAACTTTAAACTTTAAACTTCAAAGTTTAATTGTAAGCCTTAAAAGTTTGCAAATACTTAAGTATCAATAACATTGAATAAGAAAAGCAAGATTTAATTTTTAAAAAAAAATAGTAGCCCGGCCCGCCCGAACCCGCTTAGCCCGAACCCGAACGGGCCCTAAATAACCTGAAATTTTCCAACCCCCCCAGCCCGTTATCCCAGCCCGCTAAACAGCCCGCCCGATAAATGAACGGGCTGGAGTTTTTCCCGTTCAACCCGTCCCAGCCCGCCCGATAAACACCCATAGTTTTGCCACTAGCACCACCTCACCAGACACCAGGTTTGTGACTGTACAGACTTTTGACACAAATTCCACCTTGTTTCCCTTGTCACAGATTTGGGAAACGCTTAGCAAGCTGTACTTCAATCCGTTCATGTGGTACACATTTTCAATTGAGTGAGAGAGAGACTTCCCTATACTTCCGACTCCCAGAATGTATCCCTTCTTGCCATTTCCAAATGATATACTCCCTCCTTGCAGGGTCTTAAGTGAAAGGAAATCATTTGTACTTCCAGTCATATGTTTTGAGAAGCCACTATCCATGTATCATTGTAGGCTGCTTTCTTTCAATGTTCCATGCACAAGAAAAATTAGGAGTTAGCTTTAGGAACCCAAACTAATTTGGGCCCCTTATAATGAAGAAATGGGTGAATAAGAGATCTTTTGGTCCATTCAGGCATTATGCGTTTTATATGAGGGACCGAGTTCTCTGCTAGTAGTTACTTTTACAGCAAAAGATTTGTTTTTCAGCTGTGACTGAGATCTGGCCTTACAGTTTTCTTTCAGGTGCCCATTGTTACCACAGTGAGTGCAAAGCCAATTGTCAGGTACAGTAACGTACTTGCTATGAGGGTTGTAGGGAATCTTTTCCCTTTGATACCCAATCTCGTGCCTGTTTCTCCCCATTGTTGGTATACATGGGAGTGATAGCATCAGAGGACCAGGTCCACTTGAGTGATTTTTCAAGATCACTCTTCACTCCATCTAGTTCTTCCTGAAGTTGTTTGTTTCTCTCAAGCTCAGCACACAGACTAGACTTCACTGAATTTAACTCACTTTTAAGCTTAATGTGTGTCTCGCTTGCAACTTCCTTTCCTTTTTGAGAATTTTCAGGCCTACTCTCCATTTTAAGTTCTCCAATTGTTTCCTTCAAATCCATTACGACCACTAGAAGGTCATTTTTCTCATGCTCAATGCTAGCAACTTTCTCAATCAAGGCATCTTTTTCCATACTTACATTCTAAAATGGTCTCTTTTAGGTCCACCACAACAGTCATAAGATCATATCTTTCTTTCTTCAGGTTCTCAATTATCTCCCTTAAATCAACCGCAACTACTACTATGTCATCTTTAGACTGTTCTACTTCTCCTAATTCAACTGTTAAAGCATCGTTGTTATTGATAGGATACAAGTACCTTGGGCATAGGTACTTTACTTTAGATTTTGATGATCTAACAAACTTACCATCCAGAACCAGATAAGGAACCTGTTACACATTCACAAGACCTCGAGATCACAAGTTCCAGGTTGGGATCCAGCGTGGGATATAACTCAACTCTTCAGAGTGGAAGGAACAACTGAGGAAACAGGTTTCTACCAGTTCCCAAAGAGACTGTATAAAGTCAACTCTGCAGCAGGAAAGTTGCTGCCTGCACACGCTATTGCACATGAACAATGCAACAGTCAACTTTCTATGAAAGGCTTTTTACCTACCTTGCTTACATCATTGTAAGTAATGTCACACACGTATAAATACAATTAAGGAAGATAAAACAACTTACTTCACGAGAGAACCAGATAAAGGACCTGAAGCATGTTTGGTACAATCATTCAAGATAATCTGGGCAGTGTGCCTTTAGATTCACAGGAAGCAGATTAGGAACCTGATCCCTAGGTGTTCCCCTGACCGAAGTATAAGTCAACTGTACAGCTGGAAAGCAACTGTAAAAAGTGACTGCCTGCAACTGTACACACAACAATTCAGCAGACAGTGCAGCAGTCACTTCCCATTGAGAAGAGGCATGTACTAACCAAGATTTGACATCACTAAGGTGATGTCTTTTGTAGTATAAACCTGGTGCAAGGCACAAGATATTCCTCCCCAAGGCTTGCAAAATCAGAAATGAAAATACTCTCTCAAGTGTTTGCCACAACCTCTCTTAAGAACAAAACTGTTGCAACCTCAAGGACCTGATCCAAGTTCGAAGATATCTTAATTCCTTAGGTTTGTTGAGTCTTTGTTATTTGTTCTTTATTGTAACTCCTATCTTGCTTTCTTAGAAGATGTTTTTTAGGAAACCCAAAATTCGTAAACTCTACAGTTTATGTTGTGACTAGGTTTAGTCATAAGTTAAAGTCTTTGTAATAGAGTTATTACATAGTGGCTTGTAATAGTGTTGTTACAAGTTAGTTGAGTTTAAAGTCTTTGTTACTAGGAAGTGACAAAGTGGCTTGTGGTGAGAGTATCACAAATTAGTTAAAGTCTTTGTAACTAGAGAGTCACAAAGTGGCTTGTAGTGAGAGTACCACAAGTTAGTTGAGTTGAATCCTTTGTAATAGAGTCATTACAAAGTGGCTTGTAATAGGTGTTTACAAGTTAGCGAAGTTGAAAGCCTACAAGTGTAGGTCGTGGTTTTTGGATCCCCTTGTGTGGTAGTTTTCCACGTAAAAATCCTTTGTGTTCTTTACTTACTGCCGAGCTAATGTGGAACAATTAGAGAACCTGATTCCCTATACTGGTTGGTTTTACAGTCTGTTGCTTACAGTGGGAGCTTATAGAGAATCTGGTTCTCTATACAGTAGGAACTTATCATGTGTCTCATTTACATATTGGTTTAGTAGTTAGCACTGTGGGAACTGATATAGGACCAGATCGCTATACAGTTTGGTTCATCAGTATCTTCAGTGGAAACTCATAGAGAACCTGGTTCTCTATATATTCTGGTGGACGTTTAGTTTCTAACAGTTATTTATAAGACTATGATAAGCGTCAATTAACACATTTGCCAAAGACATGGGTTTCTTAAGAGAATAGGATTTCAGATTTCTCTGAACATCCAGAAAATTTACCTCATCATCATCGTCATCTTCATCATCAGACTGGGCCATCAAAGCAAAAATTGAAGCATACTCGGTTGCTTCACCTTCTACTTCCATCATAGAGCTATTACCTTCATCATCTTCTCCAGATTCACTTGACGCATTACCCCATGCAGCAAGAGCTTGTCTCACGACATTGTCAACGACATCTTTTCTATTGAAGCGTTTATCAGGAACCAGGTTCCTTTTGGCTGCTTTGTTAGAGTTGTTCTTGTACTGATCCTGCTTTAGGAGAGGGCAATCCTTGATGAAATGCCCTGGCTTGCCACATTTATGACAGAGGTCATAATTCTTTGGCTTGCTAGAACTTCCCCTATTTGGAATGCCTCCATTCCTGCGAACCATCTTCTGGAATCTTCTTGTCAGGTATGCCATATCACCATCCTCACCACTTGAATCATTGCTTTCTGTCTTGAGGACCAGGTTCTTCTCCCTTTTGGGATCTCTTCTTTCACTGTCCTTCTTCTTCTTCTTCTTCTTCTTCTTCATTTCATATGTTTTTAGATTGCCAACAAGCTCATCAATAGTTAGCTCCTGCAATTCCGTTGCCTCTGTAATGGCGTTCACTTTGCTTTCCCAGGAACTGGGCAGCACATTTAGGATTTTTCTAACCATCTTGTTTCTTGGAATAGTTTCACCAAGAGAGTGAAGCTCATTAATGATGGAGGTGAACCGGGTATGTATATCTTGGACAGATTCATCATCTTTCATCCTGAAGTGCTCGTATTTAGTTGTGAGCATGTCGATTTTGGATTGCTTGACCTGTGTTGTTCCTTTGTGAGGTATCTGAAGGGCTTCCCAGATTTCTTGGGCTGACTGACATGCCGATATCCTATTGTATTCATCAGGACCAATGCCACACACCAGAATTTTCTTTGCACGAAAGTTCTTCTCTATGGCCTTTATATCAGCATCATTGAATTCTTTCCTTGTCTTGGGAATGGCTACAGCTGCATCGCCAAGGTTCTTGGTAGGGACAAAGGGTCCATCACATATGGCACCCCATAGCTCAGTATCTTCAGCCATGATGAAGTCATGCATCCTAATTTTCCACCATCCATAATACTGTCCACTGAACCTAGGTGGTCTATAAGTAGACTGGCCTTCTTCGAAGTTTGCAGGAGCAGCCATGAGGATCCTTTCTAGGTGTTAACCTGATAGAAAGAACGTGGCTCTGATACTAATTGATAGAATATAAGGATCCAACAAACTCTACAGAGAACCAGGTCTATCTGTTCTACTAGAACATACGCACACAGCAGTAAGTAAATGACAAGAGGAATTTTACGTGAAAAATTCCCAGCTCAACGGGATTAAAAACCACGACCTACCCTTGTAGCATTTCAACTTCACTACTGAGCAACTTTTAGATTACAATCTATGCAGCCTAGGAATTAACCTCTTAATCCCTCACTAACTTGTAATACTCTATTACAAGCCACTTTGTAATAACTCTATTACAAAGACTTTACAACTTGACTAACTCTATCCAAGACTCAAACATGTTTAAGGTTTACAAAGGAGTTCCTACAGAATGCTTCTAAGCAAGCTAAGTAGGAAATACAATTGAAGAACTATTACAAAGTTCCAACTCAACTAAGGACATATAATGACTTGATGTGGGAACTGGTCCGTAGTTGTTTTGTTCTTTGATCTTGAAGCACTTGAAACTTTCTCACTGGATAGTCACGTAGGTAAGCTTGAGTGAAATCTCTAAGTGTTCAAGTGAATGTGTTTTAACTCCCTTGATGTTAATAATACATGTGTGACCTCACATACAATGATGTAATCAAGGTAGGTAAAAAGCCTTCCACAGAAAGTTGACTGCTGCACTGTCGTACAGTCACCTCGAGAACTGGTAGGGACCAGTTCCCTCAGTTGTTCCTTCTACTCTAAAGAGTTGAGCCATATCCCAAGTTGGAACCTTGTGATCTTAAGGTCTTGTAAATGTGGAACAGGTTCCTTATCTGGTTCCAAAAGACCCCCCAAAACCCTATCATTCTATACCGTCTGCCTCCCTGAAATCCTTCTTCTCTCTCAAATGCTCTCAAACCCTAAACCTAATCTGAACTCGCCGTCACTCACCTATGGCTATCTATGGTGGTTTCTCACCACCTCCCAGGCCTCTAATGGCCTCTCTCACGTTATTCTTGCTATCTCCAGGGTCCTCAAGGGACCAGGGCTAGTTGGCTTGCATCTATGGTTCCTTTCTCGCCTGTGTCAGGCCATTCCAATGTGATTCCGAGTAAGACCGTCCTATATTGACTACGATCTATAAGTTTCTAAGCATGTTTCTTCACCTCTGTGTTGTTCTCTTCGAAACCCTAATTTCTTTTTCTGAACCTCTTAGATCTGTACAGATCTGAGATGATTTGGACTTGTTTCATGTGAGTTTTACAACAACCTTGAGATCCTTTACAAGAATCGTATGATTTTCATCTTTTTCTAAAACTTGGGTTTCCGGAATTTGTTTTTACAAAATGTTTGATGATTTTTTTTAGTGTTTGATCTTCTGCTTCTCATATGTTTTGACTGATTTTGTAAGTTTTGCCACAACCTTAACTCGCTTGTACTGAAAACCCTAATTTTCTGATGTTCTTCGTTTGGTTTCTGGGTACTGGTATATTGACTGTGTTCTTGCTTTGGGTTCTTGTGATTTCTCGTGATTTTCTTGTCCTAATATGCTTCTGCTGAATTTCTTTGTTCAACCCTTTCACTAATTCTATATGGTTGTTGTTAGAAACTGTGCGTCCACCAGACAATATAGAGAACCGGGTTCTCTATGTGTTTCCTCTGAAAGTATTGATAAACCAAACTGTATAGGGATCTGGTCCTTTATCAGTTTGGTACAGTGTTAAGTTTGTGTGAGTCCACCAAATAGCAGAGTACCTGGTCCTTTATCGGGTTCTGCAGTGAATGCTAGTAAAGCTGAATGTAAATAAGGCCATGGATTTTTACGTAAAAAAATCCCACACAAGGGGATCAAAAAATCACGACCCACACCTGTAGGCTTTTAACTTCACTAACTTGCAATCTCCCTATTACAAGCCACTTTACAATAACTCTATTGCAAAGACTTCAACTAACTTGTGATGCTCTCATCACAAGCCACTCTATAACTATCCTAGTTACAAAGAATTTGACTAACTTGTGGTATTTCCACCACAAGCCACTTTTTCACACTACGGTTACAAAGGCTTTGACTAACTTGTGATGTTTCCACCACAAGCCACTTTGTCACACTACGGTTACAAAGGATTTTTCTTATGACTCAACCTAATCAATGCTTCTAAGAAAGCTGGATAGGAGTTACAATGAAGAACACATAACAAAGACTCAACAACCCTAAGGACTTAAGATATCATCAATTTCGGATCAGGTCCTTGAGGTTGCAGCAGCTTTGTTCTTGGGAGAGGTTCTTGAACACTTGAGAGAATATTTTCCTTTTCTGCATTTTGCCAGCGTTGAACCTGAATCTTGTACCTTGCATAAGGTTTATACTACACAAGACATTCTTAGTGATGTCCAATCTCAATGGTGATCTAAATGGAAAGTGGCTGCTGCACTGTCTGCTGCACTGTTGCAGGCAGTCACTTTCTGCAATTGCTTTCCAGCTGTAGTTGGCTTGCACTTCTGTCAGAGAACCCTAAGGGAACAGGTCCCTGTTGTGTTCCTCTTTGTACAGTTGCGGACAATCACTCAGTTGCGTTCCGGCTGTATAGTTGACTTGTACTTTTGTCAGAGAACTCTAAGGGACCAGGTCCCTGTTGTGTTCCTCTTTGTACAGTTGCGGACAGTCACTTTCTGCAGTTGCGTTCCAGCTGTATAGTTGACTTGTACTTCTATCAGGGGAGCACCAAGGGATCAAGTTCCTGATCTGGTTCTTGTGCACACTGCCCAGATTGTCTTGAGTTGAGTCAACTGAATGGTGTTTTGTACAAACTCATTGTAGGTACACCTTGATTACATCACTTGAAGTGACGTGAGCACTTTAGTTGGTCAGAGAATGAGTGGGCGCTGGAAACAGTGCAGTGCGGCAGAATCTTCGTTTCCAGCTTTGTCCAATTGACTTTGTACTACCGTGAGGAACCCATAAGAGTATTAGATTGAATAATAGGAGAACACAGGTTCCCCCTGACTTTATGCCCTTACTTACACATGTTCCCCCTGACTTTATGCCCTTACTTACACATGTTTCCCATATGTTCCCCCTGACACTTTACTATCATTCTTGGTCTTTTATCTGGTTCCATACAGAAAGTTTGTTAGATCATCAAAACATAGATTAAGACCTTAAGCCCATCAATTTCCCCCTTTTTGATGATGACAAACTTTTAACATTGATGACTATTTGACTTAACCAGATAAGGTACCAGCAACTGCATATGTTCCCCCTGACTCTATTCTTCCCCCTTTTGGCATCAACAAAAAGACATAATCAGACAAAAAGGCATAAAGAAGTCCAACAAGGCTAACTCATGCCACATATGTGCAAACAATCATGATAGAAAAGAGAAGCAAAAGGGAAAACAAGCATTGTACAAGCAAAAGAAGAGCTGTTTTATTGATAGGAAATTTCACTGTTTCAACAGGAGCAACAACGATGAAATCCAACATGCCAGCACAAAAAGACAAACAAAAAGAAAAACAAGAGCCACAAAATCATCAGAGCAAAAAATAACTGGCCACGGAGAGGATCCTAGGGGGGCACTAGAAGAGGGAGGCTTGGAAGAGGAGGCAGTAATGGTTTTGAGAGCTAGGTCCATGCGGGCAGTTGCAGACAACAGTTAGTCAAGCAGTTTCTCCCGCAGGTTCTCCACTAGTTGCCTAAGTTCAGAACTTGTCTCATACCTGCCATCTCCCAGATTGTCGGGCAAACGTGCAACCCATCAAGACTTTTCTGAGTGCTCAGACTTTCCTGCCTAAGGCCACTATCACTTGGAATGGTCTTTATTGAACCAGGTACTCCCACAGTTGCCCGCTTTTGTTTTCTAGATATTTCACCCAACTTCCAGGTCCTGCTTGCAGCAGCCACAATGGCACTTTTCAAGACACATCTTGCTCAACCACAAACTTTTGTAAATCTTTTTACTAAGGAACTAGGTTCCTCCATAGCATCTTTATCAACCTCAACCACTGGAATGTGTTTATCAACCACAGCTTCCCCCTATTTCATCAACCTCTTCTTCCTTTTTCTTAATACTTTGCTTACTCTTCTGCAAAGCAGACTCAAAAGCCTCTTTCTTTTAAAACCACCTAGTTTGTCACACCTCCTTTTTAACTTACTGCAAGGGTGTAAAGGAGTTTTTCCACTTAAAGGACAATCGGAACAGGATTTATTATTAAGATTTCAGAGTCGCCACTTGGGAGATTAATGGTGTCCCAAGTCACCGGTTGAATCCCGAACCGAGGAAATTATGACTCTATTAACAGTCCGTGAACCAGAGATCCGAGCAAGGAATTCTGTTAACCCGGGAGAAGGTGTTAGGCATTCCCGGGTTCCGTGGTTCTAGCACGGTCGCTCAACTGTCATATTTGGCTTATTTATCTGATTTTAGAACATGTTTTGATCTATGTGCTTTTAAATTTGAGCCGCTTTTACTATTATTAGTTTAAGAGAATTGCAACGCCGTGAAAATACGTCTCGAACCGCGTCACATAAATGCACCCGCGATTTTTGACACATTTCGACTTCGTTGGGATTTGGATTTGGGTCACATAAATATGCACCCGTATTTAGGAAGGTAATATTATTAAACTAACGTGCCTAAAGCAACTACGCGTTTGCACTTTGCGAGGGCCATGGAATTTGCTAAATGGCACACCTCGAAATCTAATGTTGAGTTAAAGCTGATTAAAATGAGGGCCACGCAATTGACATTTTGGCTTGGCATGGCGCACCTCACTAAAATACATTAATTTCTTAAAGAAGGCTTCAGGATTCCCAATTACTCAAAACATGGTCTAATGTACTTATTGAGAGCCGAAGGAAAGTATCATTTTTATTATTTTTTTTAAGAAAAGAT